TTACTTATATAAATTCAATACATGATCACATTTTAAAAGTAGATGATTTGATATCATATCTCGAAATTGTTGAACTTATAAAAGAAATAAAAAAAATCGGGAAATTTAAAATTTAAAAATTTTAGAATAAAAAAAAAAAGAAAAAAAAAAAAGAAAAAAGAAAAACTCTCTTTTAACTCGTTCTCCTCTACACCTGAACTTCCTCCATTTCAAATTACACAATACCAACTTATTAATGCTCTAAATGTTCGAATAAATACATGAGCCACAAAGCAATGGAAGTACTAATAGAAAGTAATCAAGCATCAAGTCCATTACCCTCGGAGCTGTCCATGGGGTGAGGCAAGGACGGGGAAGGCTCAATCAGCAACGAGTCAATTACATACACTATTTAACGAGACGATTTGGGTGCAAAAGAAATACAACGTATGAATAATAATACTATCTTCAGAGCCTTATGTGGTGGCGTGCAGGCTACATAATCTCAGTTTCCAAGTGTCTTTCTTCCAGATCAGACTAGAAAAACGACCCCGATCGAGCAACGACTCCAGTCCATTCGTTGTTGGGGAGATCATCCCACAACCAGAGAGAAGATCAGTACTAAAATGTATCCTCAAACAGTCTTCTCCTGAATGATTTGCAGGTCGAATGGAAATCATTGAGAAAACAATGTAAGCGACTTGTGGGAAACGATGCACCAAACTAACACACCCGAACTGCAGATCGTGTTTAAAATCTTCGGCAGCAGAAGATATCTTAGTTCTTTCATCCAGGATAATGTAAGAATATGAAATTGCATCCATGCCACGATTCTCGTCCCTTGCTATTACATTTTCTTCGTATTATGTCAATTCATTTCAAATATAACCAGCTACCCACAGGAGAGAGTCATGAGTATAACATACCTCTTCAAACAGATTCTTCGCTACAATTAATCCATGGTTCTATATTCAACCACAGAATCATACTCTTCCATGCGTAATGAACTTCCTGCAAAACATCTGAGAGGAAAACTTTCTAAATAAAAATGGCAGTAGAAAAATGATGAGCATAAAAGATGCAGTCTTGTATTGTGATAAAGAAACAAACACTACTCGCGGGAGCTTTATGAGTGAATCAGTCGTGATTATGTTGTAAAGGAACTCGTGATATTTTAATTTCTTAGATAGGTGGCCATCATAAATTTCGCTAGTAGGAGGGGATGAAGGCGAGATATAATTTAGTTGTTTGTGCTCGAGTACACCCAAGAGGGAGGGGTCCAAGATTCTCAAAATACTCGACATTCTTCTGTATTTTCTTGTTTGGTAAGTCATTTCATTTCTCTGAATTCTATCAAAATCCATTCCTGCATTTTCTTACTCCATATATAAGAGGGTTGCTCCGAGCAAGTTAATACAGTAAGTCAATAGCCAAGGATAGTCTGGGACATTGCTTGAAAGGAGATGGGGATTAGTTATATTATTGCATCCGAGCTAGAGGAATTCAGTACAAATGGGACAAGGGAACCAAAAAAAATTGAGTAATATGGAAAATTTACTTGAAATCATCTGGGTTTAGCTGACAGAGACAATGGTCATGCAATTCCTGGTCGGAAATTCTCGGGTATTAATATCCAAGGATAGTCTCGGGCGTTGCTTGAAAGGAGATGGGATTAGTTATATTATTGCATTCGAGCTAGAGGCATTTGGAACAAATGGGATAAGAGCACCAAAAAAGATTGAGAGCAATACGGAAAATTTACTTCAAATCAACTGGGTTTCAGTTTAAGGGAAGATACAATGGTCTTGTAATTCCTGGTCGCTAATTCTCTGGTATATGGTATTGTTACGAATCTAGCAGTGAACAACACTCTCAATAAATCCTACTTCTGTGAGTGGGCTTCCAGAACTCAATACTCAAGAAATCTTACATTCATTTCAAAATTTAGATGCATCAGAGAAAAAACACGAGAACTTGAAATATTGAACAGTGAGTAAAGTACCTTAATTCATGCCAAAACAAATCAGTTTTTTCATACAGGAACGGACGCAAAGGCGAAAGGATGGCCTCCAACTCTCTTTGTATCCATGGTTTAATCCTCTCTAGTATTGCTTCTTTGACTCCATGACTTCCTGTTAAGTTCTGCACAACACGCATTCACGCACACAGAATAAGAACTAAACTGACAGAATTGCACTTGTACACAATGCCGAATTTGCACCTTCGTTGTACGCAACCGAAGAGAGAAAATTATTAATTATTTACATAATCGACAAGTTGAGTATAACTCAAGTGGTTAAGATTTTATATCTCAACTGAAAAGGCTAGAGTTTCGAATTCTCACTAACACGAAAAACTAAAGAGAAAGTTCGGCAATGTATTTGGTTGAAAAAAAGTGCCCCAATTCAATTTTGAAGCAAGGGATTAGCCCCATGAGCTGTATGTGAGGTAATAAACTTAAAGTTAAAAGAGGAAAGAATCAGTTTATCAAATCCTACCAGCAACCAGACTTCATATAAAATCATCAGATAACTCGTAGTTAAGGATTAAAATGCATACCATTACTAAACATGATCTGACCGAAGATGGGACAGCTTGTATACGTCGGTCGTATATGCTGTGTCAGATCATAACCCAACGGAATATTAGCAACAACATTCAAGCTCTAAACCCAGAAGTTACCTTGCTCGCCATTGAAGTTTTCGCCAGGCAATAACATCAGTAGGTACAGATTCCGGCCCTCGCCGGCCAAATGAACGCCGCCATGTCAGTGGTCTCTCCGACCGTCTATCTCTGCTCAATTCATTCCTTGTGCTCTGAAGAATCCTAAATAAAAGTGAGGGGAAAAAATACAATTCCAAGTTTAATGATCAAATCAGTCCTCGATTAAAACTAACTACAGCACTCAGTTCTCCGTATTAGCTTATATGTTCAATTCAAGCAGAAGTGATCAATTTGAAAACAAAATTAGCAGCCATACAGACATATCAGAGTTACAGAAACACACATACTCACACACCTGCGAGCGTCGGTCCGGGATGATCCGATTCCAATCTTGAGATTGTCGGCACAATTCAAGTTTGGCAATCTTTCTTTCCGGAAGCTTCGCGATGAGAGCTTGATTTTGGAGAACCATGAATCGAATTGAGCGTTACAGAGAGGGCAGGTTCGCTTCAAATTGCTCCATTTGCGAATACACCCTACGCAATAGGCGTGGATACACGTTGTAAGCACGGCGGCGATACGATCCTCCAATTCTCGGAGACAAATTGGGCAGGTTTCTCCACAGATTGCCGGCGAAATTACCTTCACTACGAAGTTTTCGCCGTTAAGCTTTCGCGCCGGTTCTGGGGTCGAATGCTTCGTGATTTTCCCCACCAGCATTCTGTGCCAGGTGGGAGAGAGAGATTTTCAAGGCTCAAAATCACGGATTATTGGGCCGTATTTCGGCCTCCATTCAAATGTATTCTAACTCAATTTCGGCTCTGTTCAGATGGCCCATTGTTTATAGGCCCAAAGCAGTCACGACCGTAATTTGGGCCTTCTTGTCGACGTAATGTGGGCTTTATTCTCAGGCCCAAATACGTCACAATCGTTTGACCTGTTCTCTGGGCCTTCTCGGGGTTGAGTCCAAAGCGGAGGCAATAACTGCTTGCTGGGCCTTCTCCTTGGGCCTGTTCTAACTTAATTTCGGCTCTGTGCAGAAGGCCCATTGTTTATAGGCCCAAAGCAGTTTCCACCGTTGGACCAGATTTTTGGGCCTTCTTGACGACGTAATTTGGGCCTCCTTTCTAAGGCTCGAGATTTACAGGCCCAAAGCGGTTTTATTTGTTGGACCAGTTTTTTGGGCCTTCTCGAGGTTGAGCCCCAAGCGGTGCTTATAACTGCTTGTTGGGCCTTCTTCTTGGGCCTCTCTTCTAACTTAATATCGGCTATGTTCAGAAGGCCCATTGTTTTTAGGCCCAAAGCGTCACGACAGTTGGATCAGATTTTTGGGCCTTCTTGTAGATGTAAGTTGGGCCTCTTTTCTAAGACCCGAGATTTATAGGCTCAAAGCGATCACATTTGTTGGACCAGTTTTTTGGGCCTTCTCGGGGTTGTGGCCGAACCGGTGGCAGTAAGTGCTTGGTGGGCCTTCTTCTTGGGTCTCGTTTCTAACTTAATTTCGGCCGTGTTAAGAAGGCCCATGGTTTATAGGCCCAAAGCAGTCACGACCGTTGGATCAGATTTTTGGGCCTTCTTGTCGACGTAATTTGGGCCTGTTTTCTAACTTCGGGCCTCTTTTCTAAGGCCCGAGATTTATAGTCCCGAAGCGGTCACCTTTGTTGGACCAGTTTTTTGGGCCTTCTCCTTGGGCCTCTTTTCTCACTTAATTTCGACTCTGTTCAGAAGGCCCATGGTTTATAGGCCCATGATTTATAGGCCCAAAGCAGTCACGACCGTTGAACCGGATTTTTGGGCCTTCTTGTAGACGTAATTTCGGCCCAGTCTAGCTAAGCCTATCCTCTGCTGTAATCGTGTTTGAGCCCAGATCGGTGACTATAGCTGTTTGTTGGGCCTGGTATTAGGGCTTTTTTTGATAGCTTCGAGCCAGTCTCGATATGGCCTACATCTTTAGCGACAGGTAGATTACGGGCTCAAAGATGTTAGTATCTGTCTATTGGGCCTACTTTCAAACATAATATCGGCCCATTTCAGATATACACCCGATCTCAAGCTCCGTTTATGGGCCCACAGCGGTTAATTTTAACTGTTTATTGGGCCTTCGAAAGCACAATCTAGAATCGCCCGTTATGGGCCAAAATCAATCAGATTTCTTATTGGGCTAGGTTATTGGGCCATTTATGGGCCTTCTTTCGTAATTGGGCTAAGTTGTTCTGGGCCAGATTTTTGAGCCCTTATCAATTATCTGATTATTGGGCCAAGTCTGTGGGCCTTTTTTAAATTATAATTTCGGGTCAGTCCAGATACCATCTTCCTCTGCCGCGAGGGAGAGAGCGGGTTCTGTTGAGGTTACAGTGACAGCAAATTTGGTTCAAATTTGGCTGTTCTTTCCAACTAAGAACTGCTGAAGAAAAAAATGGAGGTTCCAAAGGATCAAATCTCCACTCTTCTCGACCAAGGACTCTATAGTTCAGCTCAAATGCTGGTAAACTTTCGATTTCTATCGCTCTCTTTTCAGTTCAATTCATTCAGTTCAACACACAATCAAGCAAACTCACCTTCTCCAAATTCGGGATTGGAAATCGGACTCAATCTGTTCGGTGATTTTTGTTTTCTTGTTTAGGGTTGCTTCCTTGTTTCATCGCCAGCTGCTAATGCAGAATCGAGTCCTCACCTTAAGTCTGAGAGTTTGGTTTGTAGTACTGAATTCATTGACTTTCAGTTGTACTGTTTTCAGATTACTTATTTCATCTCTAATTGCACCGTTTATTGTTTCTTTGAAGAAAATTTTCCTCTCTAATCCATCTTGTTGTTGGACCCCTTTTTTACTCTCGTTCTTCATTGATAGGTGCTTCTGGGGGATGCATTATTTCGAGAAAGGGAGTATCGAAGAGCAATTGTAAGTCTGAGTTATTATATTGCTCCAGGATTAGTTTTATTTTGAATTATGTTTAATAATTTTGAGGGTGTTCTTTGTTTTTGTTATATTACTTGGCAGCATACTTACAAGCAAGCTATGCAATACTATAAGATTATTCCTAAACAAAATTCAACTACTACTAGAAGTTCTTTGCAGTCAAACAGGTCCTCTTCTCCCAATTCTTTTAACGTATCGGCCATTAATGAAAATGAGGTAGACAGAAATTGTTTCTTAATATGGCTCAATTCCTTTTTTTCACTTATTATGTATGTCCTGTTTGTTTCCCTTTCGTCAGCTTATTTGTTGCAAATTGTATTTGCTTGTTTGATAGGTGAAGTTCAAAATTGCGTCGTGTTATTGTGCATTAAGTGATAACAGAGCTGCCCTTGTAGAGGTCTCTCTCTTTCTCTTTTTCATGCGTGCACGTGCAGAACATTCTACTTGATGTTAAACTTCTGTCAGTTTTGCCTTGCAGATGGAGGGGATTCCAAGTAAAGCAAGAAACTTGCAAATGATTCTTTTGATGGGAAAGCTTTACAGATATGCGAGACATAACCGTGCTGCTATTGCATATTACAAGGAGTGCTTAAGGTCAGTCAATGAAAATCTTAAATGGATTGTACATTGGAACGCATAGTTATGTAACCAAATCTATTTGTGTAGAGAATTTTCTTTTCCAAGTGAAATCCTCTAGTACATGTAAGAGTGAAAAAGTGCTTTGTGGTTGTGGAATAAGTAGTTCTTAAATGGATTGTACATTGGAACGCATAGTTATGTAACCAAATCTATTTGTGTAGAGAATTTTCTTTTCCAAGTGAAATCCTCTAGTACATGTAAGAGTGAAAAAGTGCTTTGTGGTTGTGGAATAAGTAGTCTTCATATTTTAATATATGTTTTTATTTTATTTAGAGCTTTTAGAGTGAGATCCCATATCGATTGGAGAGGGGCTCGAGTGCCAGCGAGGATGCTGGGTCCCGAAGGGGGGTGGATTGTGAGATTCCATCGGTTGGAGAGGGGAATTAAGCATTCTTTATGAGGGGGTGGAAACCTCTCTCTAGTAGACTTAATAATTTCACTAGCTGTTGTTTCCCCAGCTTACTGATTGCGTGTTTTTTTTACCAAAACTATGATACTTTCTCCCATTACAAAGATTCACGTTCATGCTGTTCTAATTATTGATTTTTTGACAGACATTGCCCTTATGTGTTTGAAGCTATTATAGCTTTAGCAGAACTTGGTGTTGCTGCCAAAGATATCATTTCTTTGTTCCCTCAGGTTTGTTTACAAATATATTGATGAAAAGCATTAACTGAAAGTAGAAACACGTCATTTTTAGTTTTTAGTTGCATCTTTTCGCAGTCCTATAAGTTTCTGAATGCCATATGATAGTCCTGTAAATCTATTTGCATGCTCATTTCTACGTTTGGGTTTCAGAATCTGCAGACCTCGATGCTTAAGATAGGTTTTACGAGGTGTCAAACATGGCAGTCCCCTTCTTCCGGTTTTGAGTCGCTCATTTCTAGTTCTATTACTATATTCATTGTTGAACGTGTGTGGACCCTGCTTCTTTGGTAAAGTTTTACTTGTAATGTTGATGTACCTCCAATTTTGATTTCAGACTCCAATTAGAAGTGGCAAAACTCCTTTTGATCACTTCGATTCAAATCGCTGGCTGCTAGTAAGTGTTTGCAAAGATAAGCTACTATCTTCTACTTTTCATCCATTACCATTGCCTTTAATTGGGAAATGGAACCCCTTTTTGTGTGCTTAATCAGAAAGCTTCTGATACAGGCAAGCTTTTAAGCTTTGCGGGCGTGAGTTTGGAAGAAAACTTCCACTCAACAAACAGAAGATTGGAATGTCTAATTATTACTACCCTTTGTTAGCCAGGCGGATCAGGATAATTGGATTTCATATTAATTGATATAACATGTTTCCAAACATAAAACCTTATTCTATGCTTGTGTTTTTACCAGTCGTTTTGAGCACATGTAATGGATAAGTACAACCTTGTATTTGATCACGTGCAATGTCCGAATCAGAAATTGGATGTTCAAACATGTTTCCAAACATAAAACCTTATTCTATACTTGTGGTTTTACTAGTCGTTTTGAGCAAATGTAATGGATAAGTACAACCTTGTATTTGATCATGTGCAATGTCCGAATCAGAAATTGGATGTTCAAATAGTAGTCTACCAAATAATTTTTCTTGCTCTTATATTGCAAGTACAAACAAATTGTGCAATCTGCAATATTGATTATGAGCAAGTTCTTAATCAGATTACAGTGTTTTCATGTATTTATTTTCCCTTTATCTTTTAAAAACTCATTTTGTTTCTTAAATTAAGAAAACTGCTAATTTTTCTAAATTTTCTGCAGCGCTATGTTGAGGCCCAGTGTTGCATTGCTTCCAATGATTACAAAGGTAAAACACTATCTTCCCGTTCAAACTATCAAATCTTTACATAATTTATGTCACTTTATCCTGTAAGCACTTGAAATTATCCATCCTCTTATGCAAACGATATGTGGATCGTTTGAGAAGCTCGGACATCAACTAACTTTCTCATTTCTCGAAAGATTTATTTATTATTCCCTTTTTTAAACTTATGCAGGTGGTTTGGAGCTGTTTCAGGACTTGTTGCAACGTTTTCCCAATAATATTCACCTGTTACTTGAAATTGCAAAGGCGGGTTCTTGTGATAACAAACCTAAGTTTATTTATTTTGAAGGCAGTATTTAAAATGAAAATTTTGCGACCTTTCCACCTGATTGACAAGTTAACAATTATGTGTCCAGGTTGAAGCTGTCATAGGAAAAAACGACGAGGCCATCATAAATTTTGAGAAGGTAATGTGAAATTTCAGTATTATTATGATAACGATCAACTGCTTTGTTGCCCAATGACTATTTAATTTAATGCCATTACAGGCACGATCAATCGATCCATATCTTATAACATATATGGATGAATATGCAATGATTCTCAAGAAAAAGTGTGATTATTCAATGCTAAACAAGTTAGTCCATGACTTGTTAAATATTGATCCTACAAGACCAGAAGTTTTTGTGGCTCTGTCTGTATTGTGGGAAACGAAAGATGAGAGGGGAGCTTTGACTTATGCTGAAAAGGTTTGTTATCTAACTAGAGCTCTGAGATTTGTTTATTTTCTAATATTTACTAACATTTGTACTGCTAATAATCAGAGCATCCGAACTGATGAAAGGCATATAGCGGGTTTCATCATGAAGGTAACGAAATATACGTATGCAACGAACCCAAATAGAATGCTTACCAGAATAGCAACAATCTCAATTTTCTAGTTTCTACTCTCAGGGAAACCTTTTATTAGCTATGAAGCAGCCGGAAGTAGCTGTTAGTGCTTTCAGGAATGCTCAAGAATTGAGACCTGATATTCGTTCATATCAAGGTGCAACTTTAAGGGGAAAGAATCATACAGTATATACAACCCTTCCATTCATTTTATTATTGGTATTTTGCGTTTATCAATGCAATGTAACTGTCCAAAAATGGATTTCGTTGTCTAAGACACTCGAACTTTCTAACGGTTAGGAATTCACTTTTGGCTGCAGGCTTGGTCCATTCCTATCTGGCTCTGTCGAAAATGAAAGAGGCATTATATGCTGCTCGGGAGGCAATGAAAGCGATGCCTCAATCAGCAAAGGCTCTGAAACTAGTTGGAGATGTACATGCTAGTAACTCAGGTGGTAGAGAGAAGGTACATGTTTTAAAGATTTGTTCTGTAGTAATTCAGACTTGGAGAATGCCATTAGCAAGTGGATTTCATATGTGGATATGGCATGGAATTTTTTTTATAGGCCAAGAAGTTTTATGAGTCAGCCCTTAGGCTCGAACCCGGTTACCTCGGAGCGGCATTAGCTTTGGCAGAGCTCCATGTTATTGAAGGCCGAAACGGGGATGCTGTGTCCTTACTGGAGAGGTATCTTAAGGACTGGGCTGATGATTCTCTTCACGTAAAACTAGCTCAAGTATTTGCCGCCACAAATATGTTGCAAGAGGCTTTATCTCACTATCAAGCTGCATTAAGGTGAAACCTTACTTACAATGCATTCTATTGTTTTCCTCCTGTTCTACTGGTAATCTCATGTCTTAAGAGTGAACCGAAGCTATTTAGCTTATACACTCACAGATATGACTTATATATATCATCGCTTCACTCTCTCGCCCCAAGTTGGACCGTGGCACCAACTAACACTATTCCATCACGTTCCTGTAAGGCGTATCCCTTAAGTTTTGTTCGAATCTAGAAAGTAATAACAGAAATCACAGTAACATGAAGAACTTTAACAGAGAGCTGGTAAGTGCCAACCTCTCCTCCCCAATTACAGTTCTTTTTCAAAAGAAAGCCTGCCAACCAAAAAGAGAATACTCCCCTCTAATAGCTAGTCCTCACTCCGACGCCAACCGTACTACAATGTTCCCACTCATTAATAATCTGGTGGTTATTTCCCTTACTACACCTCTTAGCGTATGTATTCACAATTGGGGATCTCATGGTTCCCTCTCCCTTGCACCCTCTCCCTGGCACGCTTATGTTGATACACCATGACCATTGGAGTCTCATCGACCCCTCACAGGCATTAGTAAGCATCAGTTTCCCCATGAACGAGCCATGATGGCTCATGATTTTACGATCTCGAACAGATTGCTGTGAGGATGTTATGTTTCTTACTGGAACAGTCTAGCTTCTACAAGTTCAACCTAACCCTAATTTGTGGAGTTCTTTTCTAATTTTATTCATTTTACTGCTTTCTTGCTTTTGGACTGGTATTTACTGACCGTTACCTTCTTTCATATGTCATATATATATTTGGTTTATTGATGATATACAGGATGAATCCCCAGAACGAAGCTGCCAAAAAAGGTCTAGAGCGCTTAGAGAAACAAATGAAGGTTGCTTTCACCTTAAATTTTTTCATGATCTGAAACCTCTAGATGCTTTAAATTTTTCTTCAAAGCAATAAGTTGATGAACATTGCCTCATTCAAGCATGGTCTTGTCTTAGAAAAGTCCCTCACCATGTTTTTTTCTTTAGTGGGAAGTGGGCATTAGAACAGGAACAGCTCATTGAAATGCATTTCCTTTGAAACATTTTAATATTGCAGGGAGTAGATCCTGATGCACCTGACGATGATGAAGACAACGAGGTCGATGATGCCGAAGGAGACCAAGAAGAAACTGAACTTTTATAAGTAACAATTCAATCCACAATGTTTACTTTTACAAGAAACGATTTCGACAACGGCCCTCCAATTCTTCTTTGAAGAGTAAATAGTAACTCGTACGTTTCTCGAGTTGTTATGTTCAAATTGTATCCTGAAGTCACAGCCATTTGGGTAAATCTCTTCCACTTGCTGATAGAGAGTTACATTGTCAAGTTCGAACAAAAGATGTCGATATTGTCGAAGCATTCCAATTGAGTGGCTGCAGAAGAGTCATTTTTGTACCGAGATGATTCCATGACTTCACGGTATGTATTTATCTTACCTAATGAAGTGACAAATGAAGAGAGGTACTCTTTCTTGTAACTTATGTACACAATAATTGTCTGTATTCCTGTAGAAACCTGTGTATACATTTGTGTAACTTATGATATCATTTTTGTGTCAAGACAGAAGCCTTTATGGTCACCGAACTTCATTTTCAGTTGCTTTATTAATGGATTTCAGTGCTACTTGGTCATACCACTTGTTAAAGCCATCGTTAAGGAACCAGGTGCTCTCCTCTATCTCTTTCTCTTATATATTATTGCATTGAAGTCACCAAAAAAGGACTTAGTTCTTAATACTTTCTGAAGTTTATTACTAGATAAACCAAAACATTACATTACAATGAAGTCACCAAAAAAGGACTTACATAAAGACTTTTTGAAGTAAACTCTCTGTGCCATTTTGGGCGGATGCCTATGGTAAAGCTTGGCTATGTTAAGGTTACATATAGATATATAAGTTAAAGGGAGTTGAACAAGAACTCTAAACCCACAAAGCACCAGCCCTTCTAAGCATGGGGATCAAGTTCCGCTTAAGATGAAGGCTCATCACTTCATTGGCGCCACCAACCAGTTGATCGCCGATGAACACTGCAGGCACCGCAGGATTGCAACCAATCCGAATGAGAGCTTGCTCGATTTCTTTCCCTCCCGGGAGCTCATCGAGCTCGTACACCGTTGGGTTAACTCCAAAGTCACACAAGAGTGACTTGATAGTGTGGCTCATACAGCAACTGTTCTTGCTGAACACCACGACAGGTCTGTTTGACACCAACTTGTTCACGGTTTCCATTGCAAACTCAAAAACAATCTCGAAAATGGGATTACAAACCAATGCCGAACACAAGAAATGGCTTAAAGGGTAAGCACAGAAGAAGAAGAAGGAACTGAGATTGAAGTGAGAAATGAAGTGGAGAAAAGGGGTATTTATAAGGGAAGTGTGAGGAGGGAGAATCAGAGAAAATGGTGTGAAAATATGAGAATTTTCATTTTGTTTGAGGGACCTGGAGACTTCGAAGCCACTCTTTCGAAGGGAAGGCTTATTAGTTGATTCGTCATGCAACCATGTTGGGATTGAAAATGCTCACAGCTTCGAATCTTTGCATAAATGTAAAGAATAAACTAAGAGAGACGTGTCCTTTGTACGGTTTTCATCAAGTACTTGTGAATTCCTTTTACAATCAGATCAAATTTCCTTTTTCTCCCATCTTTTTCACCATCCAACTCAATTTATTCTCTCTTTTATTGATATTTATTTATCAGCATTCTCTTCCCTCATCAATTATAACTAACACTCGCTCGAGTATACCTTAGCTGGTTAAGTAGGCTCAAATTTTCCTCCCAACCGAATATAGCTCAGCTCGTTAAGTTAGACTCAAATTCTCCTCCCAACCAATTCCGAACTTAAAAGAAAAACTTTTGCATGTAACAGCCTAAGTTCACCGCTAGTAGATATTGTTCTCTTTATACTTTTTCTTCAAGTGCTTCCCCTCAATGTTTTAAAGCACATCTACTAGGAAGAGGTTTTCACACCCAATGCTTCATTTCTCTCTTCAACCAATGTGAGATCTCACAATTCACTCCCTTGGGGGCCAGCGTTCTCATTGGCACATTGTCCAATGTCTGGCTTAGATACCATTTATAATAGCTCAAGCCCACAAAGGAGGTGGATTGTGAAACATCTCCATGTCGATTCGTTTTAAAACTTTGAAGAGAAGTCCTTGAAGGGAACTACAAGAGAGGACCATATTTACTAGTCGTGGGCTTGGATTGTTACAAAATTCTTGCTTCACAAATTGTTAGAACGAAAAAAGAAAAACTTTATACATGTATGAGTATAAATTTTACTTGGTTTGATTTGTTTGATTTTGTACCATGAATGTTCTTTTTCTTATTTAATTGTGTATTTTTATGCAAAAAGAAAGATTTGGGTCGGCCAAAAAAAACTTATTTATTTATTTTTTTTAAATGTGTTTGATTATGGTCGGTTTATCTATTTATATCTATGTCATCAAAATTTGGTTCCTTTTAATATATTATTTGGAATGAAATCAAACTTTATTGGATTTGGGAATTCCGTTCCTAGGTTTTGATTTTGATTTCCCAAATTAGACACCCACATCCAATAAGAACAAAGAATCCAATTAACTATTAACAAAACCATTATTATTATTATTATTTTCTTTATTAAGTCAATTCTACAATATATAGAATTTTTATTTTTTATTTTTTTAAATTCTATTTTCTTTTATAAAGAAAGATTTTGCTGCTATCCCTATCTTGGAGGCATCTATTGAGCTGGAGAAAGTATTTGGATTTATCCATTTAAAAAATATCCCTTTTTTTTCTTTTTCTTTTTCTTTTTTTCTTTTTTAATTTTTATTTTGGCTTCGCATCCAATTGAAGAACATTGTCCTTTTTTCTACCTTTTTCATTTGCCCCCAAAGAATTCTCTAGACCCTTCAATTCTTAGCCCTTGTGATTAACACCATCAAGTTATCAAATTTCAAGTCAATAATTTATGCTATTCTTCTACCACATTTACATATAATAATCTAATTTAATTCCCCAAATTCGTTTTCAGCTAAAAAATCCGAATTAGTAGAGTGTTACAGACGAGCTAAATTTGTATTACGAACTTTAGTGTTGTAACCGCCCAAGCCCACCTGTAGATATTGTCTTCTTTGGATTTCAAGGTTTTAAAACGTGTTTGTTAGAGAGAGATTTTCACACTCTTATAAAAAAAATATTTTGTTTCTCACTTCAACCGTTGTGGAATCTCACAATCCACCCACTTGCTTCAAGTCCTAACGTTCGCACTGGCACTCATTCCCATCTTCAATCGATGTGAGATCTCACAATCCACCCTCATTCGAGGTTCAGCGTCTTCACTAGCACACACACCCCAATGCCCACCTCCCTTCAAGGCTCAGTGTCCTCACTAGCACACTGTCGGAACCTGGCTCTGATACTATTGTAACATCCCAAGCCCACCACTAGCAGATATTGTCCTCCTTAGGCTTTCCCTTCTAGGGTTCCTCTCAAGGTTTTAAAACGCATATGCTAAGAAGAGGTCTCCACACTCTTATAAAGAATGTTTTGTTCCTCTGTCTAATCGATGTGAGATCTCACAAATGCATTATTGATAGCTCTCTTCCTTAAACCTTATGTCATAGAAGCTAACATCGAGTTATTGACATTTTATCTACATGTCTAAAACCTAAAAAGAAGGGATTCGTTTTGTTCGGGAAGAATTCGATAAGACTCAGACCCTAACTTCCCTCATAAAGTGACATTTTTTTTTAATAAAACTTGGCTTTCTTTGAGTAAACTCAAAGAATGAGTGTTAGCTCTTTCAACCCTTTCAATAGGGTAGCTATCTGCACGAGTCCCAAAGTGACGTTCATAATCTTTAACAATATTTTTTATAGTTACATATGTCTTTTTAGGTCGTTGTAGTAACATCTAATAAATAAATATTGGTATAAGTTAAACTAAATCAAACCTAATTTCCAACGGTCAATAAGGTTGACTTTTTGTTTGTTTGGTTTTTTGGTTAAAAGAAAGGGCAACGAAAAGACAAATGAGCTCAGCCTTAACTCTCTTATTTCCCTTTCAAATCTCTGCATGTCCATTGCAGCCAAAAAATATATATAAAAATAAAAAAACCGTACATTAAAAAAAAAAAAATTGCAGCTTGGTCCCCAACATTATGCCAATTTATCTTTTATTTTTTGTCTTTTTTTTAAATTCTTTATTTGAAATTTTAATATGTTTGTATTTATATACTTTTTAATAATTTAATTTCCCAAGTTACAAAAAATATATGAATAAATAATGTCATAAAGAGTAAAAAAAATTTCAAACATGCCCTCGAACTTATTGTAATTTAGCTTTATTTAACCCAAATATTTATGTTAATTATTTCAAATGTTAATGATGGTAAAATATGGTTAAAAATAGCCAAATATTAATTAAATACATGTGCTATAATAATTTTTATTTAATTATAACATAAGTTTAATAAAATATATGAATTTCACCAAAAAAAAAAAAAAAAACCATAATCTTTTTGTTGAAAGAAAAAGAAAAATATATTATTCCTTAAGGATAGGTTGCTGATATCAATATATTATAAATAAATTTAAATAAATAAATAAATAAAAATTAAAAATGGCATCGATTTGAAAGGCTTCTAAGCTTCCTTCACTTTCTCCTTTTCTTTTCTTTGGAATCTTTAGTGATTCTGCAACTGTTCCAATTACGTACGTATAAGTTTATACTTTTATACTTTTTTTTTTATATATTTTGAGAATATTTTGAAATTATTTAATTTAAAAAAATAATTAAAAAGTGGCTCCAGACATAGTTGAAGAGCCATTTTCTTATGTGGGTTATTTTGGAATTTCATGCTTCAAAACGCCTCATCCTTAAAAAGTAACCTATTTTTCATGCATTTCATGCATCAGTTGTTACGTGTTCTCCAGGTAGCGATGGTTCGAGAACTTTGAGCGTTTCGTATTGCAATGTGAGATGGAGATTTGAATAAGTTTAGGGTTTGGGGTTACACGAACTTATATTTATAAACCATTCAGTTTTTTTCTTACAAACAAAATATGGGAGTACATGAGTTGGGTCGGGAAATTTTTTAGACCAACTCGAAATGTCGAGTTTATTGGGCTGGTGACATGAATAACTTAAATAGAGTTCACGACCCAAACCCTCTATTTTCGAGTTCGATTGGGTTAAGTTATCAAATTAATTTAAAACATCTTAATTAATCATTAATACATGTTATATTAATAACTAAAATCTCATAAAATTCAAATATCAAATATTCACGAGTCACAATACAACACTAATATTTGTTACACATGTTAGATATATTATTAATCTTCGTAACAATCTTAAAATTTGAGTTGGATTCGATTGTGAATCATATTTTCGGGTTGGTTGGTTTTGTCAACAAATCTTATGTTTTTTTTTAACTTAACTCCTTAATATTTTAGCTAATTTTAAAATGTATATAATTGTTATATATATATATATTTTATATTTATTAGTTTGTTTATATTTATATTTCTTTAAAAAAAATTAAGTAAAAGAAATAAAAATATTAAATTTTTTACCATGCTCTAAATTTTCTTGAACATGCTCGAGTAAGTTGGGGGAGCGCAGTCATCATCCCAACAATCTTTAACAATTCCTTTTTCAATCCCGAAAACACTGGCATCAGCCAGAACAAGAAGAATATCATCATGAACCCTCGGTTCTCGTCAGTTCATTTTGATCATCTCCTTGCTTTCAAAATGTTCTCAAACATAAACTAAAAGTTTCTATTGATTCACGGTTCGACTAGATGTTCGTAGATAAGATGTTCTCTTCGTCTTCGACTTTATTAGATAAGCAAGGCAGCCCAAAGATTAAATCGGGGAATCGGTTACGTCGTTATTATAAGATTGATGAACAAAAAAGTAAAGAGGACGAGGATGATGATGACGACAATGGTGAGACGGGAGAATCCGACAGACGACAACACGATTATTTTTTAAACAAATCATAACATACGTTGTACTAAGTTCATTTCTCCTATAAAGTGGACAAATATCGTCGGTGCCAGTCTACCCTTACGAAAAAATACAAAATTTATGGATATTTTTATTAATAAGATGAACGGAACGATGCTTAAGTTACATTGAAGTCAAAAAAAAAAAAAAAAAAAAAAAAAACTTTTTGAAGTGAACTCTCTGTGCCATTTTGGTCGGATGCCTAAGGTAAAGCTTGGCTATGTTAAAGTTACATTTATAGGTATAACTTAAACCCACAAAGCTCCGGCCCTTCTAAGCATGGGGATCAAGTTCCGCTTAAGATGAAGGCTCATCACTTCATTTGCGCCACCGATCAGTTGGTCGCCGATGAACACTGCAGGCACGGCAGGACTGCAACCGATCTGAATGAGAGCTTGCTCGATTTCATGCCCTCCCGGGAGCTCATCGAGCTCGTACACCGTCGGGTTAACTCCAAAGTCGCACAAGAGTGACTTGACAGTGTGGCTCATACAGCAACTGTTCTTGCTGAACACCACGACAGGCTTGTCTGACACTAACTTGTTCACGATCTCCATTGCTAACTCAAAAACAATCTCGAAAATGGGATTACAAACCAACGTCGAACCGAAAATGGCTTAAAAGGGCAATCACGGAAGAAGAAGAAGAAGAAAAAGTTGGTGAGAAATGAAGTGGCCAATAGGGGTATTTATAAGGGAACTGTGAGGGACCTGGAGACTTGTAACCATGTTGGGATTGAAAATGCTTACACCTTCGAATCTTTGCATAAATGTAAAGAATAAACTAAGAGAGACGTGTCCTTTGTACGGTTTTCATTAACTACTTCTAACTTCCTTTTACAATCAGATCAAATTTCCTTTTTCTCCCATCTTTTTCACCATCCAAATCAATTTATTCTCTCCTTTACTTTTATTTATCTGCATTTTCTTCTCTTATCAAATAAACTAACCCGAGTATAGCGGTTCTGGAGTTAAGTCCGTCTATATGAAACATGAATGCTCGCTAAATTTGGCGTCAATCAGACACTGGACGGACGTTCCGCCAAAATGACATCTACCCAAGAAGCATTAAAAATATTGTACTATAGGGAGAAACAAGGTGTCAGCTCTCCACCACTCTTGGGCCCTGTGGCCTAAACAAGCTAACCTATGAGACATGCGTGTGTCACAATAAAGGCGAGTATTATGAGATGAGTGTCTTGAGCGACTTCCTTTGTAATGGGTCTTTCAAAGGATAGTACTGAATGGCATAGGTGTATCTGTATTGCACCCTAACCCGAGTGTTAAACGTTGGATTATGGACTCACTATCTAGTAAGGTATTCATAAATGACATGACATGGGCGTGGGAGGGCCAATGCATCGATAGATCCTGGATGGATAGATGTTTGAGATGTCCCGATGTTACGAACGACAAGTGAGTCTATTCTCGATGACATGACCGAGTGAGTTGCGATGGTCAACAACACTCTATGACTTGGGATAGCGTTTAGGGTTTAGGATTATTGTGTCATCAAGATACATGGGTCGTGTGGCCATCTGTGTTACAAAATTATTGCTTTACAAATCGTTGAACTAAACAAAACTTATTTTTATTTTTAAAAATGTATTTGATTATGGTTGATTTATGTATTTATATCTATGTCGTCAAAATTTGGTTCCTTTTAATATATTATTTGGGATGAAATCAAGCTTTATTAGATTTGGGAATTCCGTTCCTAGGTTTTGATTTTGATTTCCCAAATTAGACACCCACATCCATAAAGAGCAAAGAATCCATTTAACTATTAACAAAACCATTATTATTATTATTATTTTCTTTATTAAGTCAATTCTACAATATATAGATTTTTTATTTTTTATTTTTTTTAAATTCTATTTTCTTTTATAAACAAAGATTTTGCTGCTATCCCTATCTTGGGGGCATCTATTGAGCTGGAGAAAGTATTTGGATTTATCCATTTAAAAAATATCCCTTTTTTTTCTTTTTCTTTTTCTTTTTTTCTTTTATTTATTTATTTTTTTAATTTTTTGGATTCGCATCCAATTGAAGAACAATGTCCTTTTTTTTTCCTTCCTTTTTCATTTGCCCCCAAAGAATTCTCTAGACCCTTCAATTCTTAGCCCTTGCGATTAACACCATCAAATTACCAAATTTCCAAGTCAATAATTTATGCTATTCTCCTACTACATTTACATTTAATAATCTAATTTAATTTTCCGATATTTTGTAGTGCATTATTGATAGCTCCCGACATTTTATCTACATGTCTAACACTTAGAAAGAAGGAATTCATTTGTTCAGGATGAACTCGCAAAGACTTGACCCAATGACTTCGCTTTAACACTTTCGATACGAGAGCTATCTGTGTGTCCCAAAGTGACATCCATAAACTTTAGTGACATTTGCATAATTTCTTAAAGTAACGTTTAATAAACAAATAAATCTAGAATGTCTTCGCTAATCGACCTAAATCGACATAATTTCAAAAGGTCAATAAAAGGTTGACTTTTTTTTTGTGTTTTTTTAGGTTAAAGAAAGGACAAATTAGCTGAGCCTTAACTCGCTTTCAAATCTCTGCATGTCCATTGCTGCCACCCAAAAGTAGAGAGAGAAACAAAAAAAAAAGGAGCCGTACATTTATTTATTTATTTATTTTGAGGTCCCCAAAATTATGCCAATTTATCTTCTCTTTTTTATTTTTTAAAGTTTTTTTTTATTTGAAATTTAAATATATTTGTACTTATATACTGAAAAATTTTTATTAAAAAGAGCCCAAATATAAATTAAATGCATGTGCTATAACTTTTATTTAATTATGATATAAGTTTAATAACTATAAGTATAAAACTCATAATATATTATTCTCTTAAGGATAGGTTGCTGATATCAATATATTATAAATAAATTTAAATTTAAATAAATAAATGGCATCGACATGAAAGGCTTCTTCACTTTCCCTTCTTTTTTTCCTTTGGAATCTCTGATAAGTTGGTGATACTGTGTGCAACTTTCCAACTACGTACGTATATTGTAATTTATACCAATATTCTTTTTTATATTTTCCCGAATATTATTTAATTAAAAAAATATTAAAAAAGTGGCTCAAGACATAGTCGAAGAGCCATCGTGAAAGGGTTACTTTTCAATTTCATGCTTCAATACGCCTCGTCCTTAAAAGGTGACCTATTTTTCATGCATGGATAGTTACGTGTCGTCCAACGCTAATTCGAGAATTTAGAGAATATTTAGCATTGCAACGGGCATTGGATGAGATGGAGCTTTGGTAAATTCCCATTGGTTATCGATGTCTCGACCAATCAATTATGCTCATGTTGATTGAGTTTCTATAACCTAAAATTGAAAATCCCGAGACTATGTCAGTGCTAATTACCGTGGATCGGTTAAAAAATAATAATAATAATAATAAAATTATATTTTATGAATTAATTCTACTTTATTAGTGGAATAAAAATTGATGGAAGTGGGCATCTTGTAATGATAATCACCGGTTGGAATTGCTCCCTCAATCCGTATATATATCAACAAGTAATATATGCAACAAAATGTGGGGTATTAGCCTTATTGCAAGAATATTACTAAATAATTTTAAATATGTCCCATTTTCTTTTAATTTCCTGTAATTTTTTTAAAAAAAATAATAATAACTTTAATTTTAAATTTGACCTCGGTCCAACGAGAATTGGCGTATATTTTTTTCCGTTCCAATTCTCATCTAATTTTTAAAATTTACGAGGACCAAATTTGTAATTTAACTAAAATTTTAAATTATTGTATTTTTTTTTGTAAACTAATTAAAAATATAAATAAAATATCGAGAGATCATAACGGACTTAATTTTAAATACACAAAATTGAAAATTTTTATGATCGAATAAAAAAAAATTTATTTTCCTCCAGAAATTGAATAATTATAAAATTTTAATTTTCTTATAATATCAACTTTTGTTTGAAGGGACCTAAAAAAGTTTGATTCTTAATCCCTTTTTCTCCTTCCTTTATCTATATCTACACTAAGCATAGTGAATGTGATGCAAAATCTTGGGGTGGCTGATTACGTGTCACATTCCGATCGTCCCACGTTATGATATATTCGACCAAAAATTTTGACATTCCTAGCTACTATATGATCGGTCTTTTCAAATTGATTTATCTCACACGAAAATAATTGTTAGAAATTATCGTTTCATGATTCCATTCGTAAATTTGATACTCATAACCTAATATTATAAAGGCAACAGTAGCAAAAGTTCAACAGTTAGGTTGTTTTTGTTCCTGTAATAGATTTGAGGAGGTCGGAGATTCTTAATCTTTTTTCTTCTTTCGATACTCTCTCGCATAATATACGTATAAGTAATTTTAGAAAACTTGCTTTCGTCCATTGAGCTAATGAGACCTGAAATTCCCACGAAACTTCTCTGCAGTTTGTTAACGACGTACATGTCACTCATATAATGATTAAACAGTGATTACCAAAAATTATTATCTCTCATACACGGACTGTTATAAAAGTAGTAACTATGTTGAACAGTGTTTTTAGTAAAATTAAAGTGGGAATACGGACAAACTGTGAGATCTCACACTAATTAGAGAGGAGAACGGAGTATTCCTTATAAAGATGTGGAAACCTCTCCTAGTATACGCGTTTTGAAACCATGAGGCTGACGATAATACATAATGAGTCAAAGCAGACAATTTCTGCTAGCGGTGGACTTGAGCTGTTACAAATGATATCAGAGTCAGACATTAGGTAGTGTGCCAGCAAGAATGCTGGGACCACAAAGGGACGGATTGTGAGATTGCACATTTGTTGGAGAGGGGAAGGAAACATTCCTTAGAAGGGTGTGGAAACCTCTCCTAACATACATGTTTTAAAACTGTGAGACTGACGGCGATACGTAACGGATCAAAGCGAACGATATCTACTAGCGGTGGGCTTGAGCGGTTACAAATGGTATCAGTGCCAGACACTGGGCAATGTGCTAGCGAGGATGCTGGGACTACAAAGGGATGGATTGTCAGATCTCACATTGGTTGGAGAGGGGAAGGAAACATTCCTTATAAGGGGGTGGAAACCTCTCCTACCAGACATGTTTTAAAACCGTGAGACTGACGGCGATACAAAACGGGTCAAAGCAGACAATATCTACTAGCGGTGGGTTTGAGCTATTACAAATGGTATCAGAGCCAGACACTGGACAGTGTGCCAGTGAGGATGTTGGGACCACAAAGGGACGGATTGTGAGATTTCACATTTGTTGGAGAGGGGAAGGAAACATTCTTTATAAGGGAGTAGAAACCTCTCCTAACATACATGTTTTAAAACCGCGAGACTGACGGTAATACGTAACGGGTCAAAGCGGACAATATCTACTAGCGGTAGGCTTGAGCTGTTACTCAACTCACTCGGATGCTATGTTGAACAGTTTACGAGCATATCTTCCTTTACGGTATTAATTTCGTTTTTTATTAATGATTCCCTAAAAAAGAAAGGAAAAAACAAAAAGTGTTGGGATGCAAATATTAAAACGAAATATCTTTAATTCTTTTCAATGATATCATTAATTAATTTACTAACCTTTTTATTATATACTTTCAAGCTTGGCTTTAGCTCCTCCTTTCCTATATAAATACAC